ACGAAGACAATGTCCAACAGACCGGCCGACGGTCCGCGCGCTCCCTCTCTGGGCATCACTTCTCCCATATCTGTGACGGAACCGACGGACAGCGATATGCAGGCGTCGCGAGAGCTCGAGGAATGTCTTCGCGCGTTCGGTCTCTTCGAGTCGGATCAGGAGATGGAGCACCGGATGAACGTGTTGTCCAAAGTCAACCACATCGTCCAGACGTGGATCAAAGACATGTCGGCGAAGAAGATGCCGAAACAGAACGCGGAACTCATGTCGGGAAAGATCTTCACATTCGGCTCCTATCGGCTCGGAGTGCACACCAAAGGCGCGGACATCGACACCCTTTTGGTGGCGCCGCGACATATCGAGCGCTCCGACTTCTTCGACACCTTCGAGAAGCTGTTGTCTGCGATTCCCGACTGCGAGTACGTGCGAGCCGTCGAAGAGGCGTTCGTTCCGGTCATCAAAACCAAGATCGAAGGCATCGAACTCGACATCCTCTTCGCGCGGCTCGCCCTCAAGAACATCCCTCCCGATCAGGACCTCCGCGACGGCGCGCTCCTCAAGAATCTGGACGAGAAGTCCGTCCGATCGCTGAACGGCTCGCGCGTGACCGACGACATCCTGCTTCTGGTGCCGAATCACGAGTCCTTCCGTCTCGCGCTCCGAGCCGTCAAACTGTGGGCCAAAAAGCGCGGCATTTATTCCAACGCTTTGGGATATTTGGGTTTGTCTTCGCTTTTATGCGATTGTCTTTCTATACGTCTATACTTCTGCTCTCACATCAGGAGGCGTCTCGTGGGCGATGCTGGTGGCGCGCACATGTCAGCTGTACCCGCGCGCGTCGGCCGCCACTCTGCTCCAGAAGTTCTTTCTGGTGTTCCGTCAGTGGCCGTGGCCTAAGCCCGTGCTGTTGCGCCACAACTCGGAAGATAACCCGAACCTCGGGTTCCCGGTGTGGGACCCGCGCATCAATCCCGCCGATCGCTACCATTTGATGCCAATCATTACGCCTTCATATCCGCAACAGAACTCCACTTTCAACGTCTCCTCGTCCACCAAATCCATTATGACTAACGAGTTCTCGCGCGCCTCCGACTGCATCGACGAAGTCATGAGCGGTAAGTCGTGTGCGCGTTGTCTTTGCCCTCCATCCTCATC